TATAATTATTATTTGTATTTAAATTTATTTATTTTTTTATATTCATGATCTCCATATTAAAGATTAGATATTTTCTAAAAATTAAAATCAAATTATATTTAAAAAATATAGTTATTGCCAAGCCCGCATTACTACAATATATATGCTAGCCGCATGCTAACCACTGTCGTTTTTTTTTTGGGTAAGTTTTTTGCCCGTTTTCTTTAGAGATGGAGGATGGCAACATCTCATATAAGGTTGCAACCTTATCAAATAAGATGCACATCAAATCATCTCAACCTTGAGATATATAGTATAAAAAATAAGAATTTCAAGCCTCAAAAATAATTTATCATATAACAAGTTACCTAGATCGGTATTTTCAAGATTTTGAATTATTTATAAATATGTTCAATCTACAACATTTCTAAAATTTTAAAGGATGTTTGCACAAGGTTGCAATCTTAAACAATCAAATTAAGGCGCGTCTCCAAAATTTTTCATAAGACATAATTTTGGTGTAAAAAATTCTTAGGATGGAGCGAGAATCCATTTTCATATCTAATTGTAAAAATTTAAAACTCCGAAAATGGTTCAAATCAAGTAAATCTATAACCACATGAAAATCTTGAAAATAGATGGTCAAAATAATGTGTTACAAGATGCAATATTTTTGAGACTTAAATCGTTTTTTTTTATATATATTCAAACATAATGATCAATTAAAGGGTTTTTCAACATCAAAATAGTTTTTTCTAATGGATTTTTGATATGCACCTTAATTATACATTTTAAACCTTATATAAACTTGTTCCAATTCTAAATTTCATAATTAGAGTTGAACATTCGTTTCAGATCATAACGTACACAGCAACTACATCATTTTATAAAGGAAAAAAGGTTATATAGAGCCGAGGCTCTAAACAATCAAATTAGAGTCCATCTCAAAAATTTACTACATCATTTTATAAAAGAAAAAAGTTTATATAGAGCCGAGGCTCTAAACAATCAAATTAGAGCCCACCTCAAAAATTTTACTAGAAGAGGTTGTTTTGGTGCCTAAATATCTTCAAATTGATCATCTCGATATCAAGATGCATGGACACGAGAAAAAAAATGGATTTCAAGTTTTGTAAATATTGCATCTAGTAAAGCATTTTTTGAACCATCAATTTTTAAGATTTTCAAGTTTTTATAGATCTGTTTGATCCAGACTATTTTTTAAGCTTTATATTTTATAGTTAAAGATGAAAATATATTTGAAAGCTATCACAAAGATTTCCGGTATTGAAACCACATTTCTCGACACTACTTAAGGTGCACCCAATATTGAAATCACATTTTTGGACACTATTGAAGGTGCGCTTTACTTTGATTGTTTAGAGCCTCGGCTCTATACAAAGCGCACCCATTACTTGTATAGTGTAAGGTCACCATCTTACCCCAACTGTAAATCCTAATAAAATCTTTTAACTTTGTGCGATTAGTGCAAGGCCAAGGCGGTAAACAGTGAAGTCCAACTCCTATACGCAACTGGAAAAATGCCCCATCTGGGCTGAGATCGTCCACATAGCACATATTGCGAATTTAGGAATACGGGTGAGGTTTGTATAAGGTTGCCTCCTTATACTGTACAAGTAACGTGCACCAATAAAATTTACTTAGAGATGTCATTCCATGTCCAAACACTTATATGCTAGCTTACAAATCATTTTTATCCTCAATTATAAAATTTAAAATTTAAAAAATGGGACAAATCGAGCAGATCAAAAAAACTTGAAAATAGACGATCCAGATACCTGATTACAAGATACACTATTTTTTAGACTTAAAATTCTTTTTTTCCTTCATATCCATTCATCTCAAAGTCAAGATGATCAGTTGGAAAGTTCTCCTATGCCGGAACACTCCCGGGATTTTTTAGGCGAACCTTACTTCAACAGTATAAAGTTGTAACCTTGTATAAACCTTTTCTAATATATATAATCCAAAATTCCTCAAAAATAGATGATCCAAATAGCTTTGCAAAATATAATATTTTTAAGATTTGAATCCTATTTCTTTTTCTAGATTCATGACCGTTGCTGTCAAGATGATCAATCACCAATGTGATACATTTCAAGCATTGAGACAACATTTTTTGCTAAGATTTAAGCCGCAATTGAGTAGAAACTAGTCGATTTTTTTAAATTATAAACCTAAATTTTAAAAAAATAAAAATATCCTTCCTTTATTTAAAAAATACTTGTACCCTGATCATAAAGTGAATCCCAACATGTCTAATTGAGAAAATATGCAAGCCCCTTAATCAAGGGAGTAAGTGTAGGGTGATTTTAAAGTGGATCCCAAAATTTTTAAGTGGGAAAAATTAGTAATCCTTTAATTGAGATGGCAAATATACTTGCCACAGGAGAAGGCATATATCCTACTATAAAGCCTTTTCTCTAGAGGGTCTTATTCTAGGTGAATGCCACATGCCTCACCCTTAACGCACACCCACCATAGAATAATAATGTATTTGCATTTACATAAGGTAAAGTTTAGATCAAGTTGAGAGGCCCTAAACAATCAACCCAAGAAGCACCTCCAAAATTCACTAGAAAAAGTCGTTTCGATGTTGAAAAACCCTCAAATCCGATCATCTAGATATTGAGATACATGGACTTAAAAAAAATGAACTTCAAGTATTGGAAATATTGCATCATGTAATGCATTATCTAGGCTGCCAATTTTCAAGATTTTCAAACGTTCATAAATCTGCTTGATCTACACTATTTTAAAAGCTTTAAATTTTATAATTAGATATTAAAATAAATTTTCAAACCATCATAAAGATTTTTTTATACTGAAATGACATCTTTCGACACTATTTGATGGTGCACCTTACTTTGATCATTTAAGGCCTCAGCCTTATACAAACCACACCTTTTACAATAGAAAGTCTTTAGACTCGAGCTTAGCCTATAAGCATAAATAAAGCTGATTTTTTTTTTTATCACTAATTTTTCTTTGGGGAAATTTATCAAAATACAACTCAAATTTCAACTAACACTTTTACCCTATTTTACTACTCCCAACTCAAAATCATCTGTAATTTGATGGTTATTTTGAAATTAAATCAAAACATACAAGTAAGATGTCAAATAGTTAATTTCCTAGGTGGATCGTGACAAATTTCCCTTCTTTATTTTCAGAGAACTCATGAATGCAAAGAGAAGGCAGCCTACTTTGGAGACACAGAGAAATAAAAGGGATAGGACAGCAGACATCCTAGAGGGATAAGCAAAAGAACCCCAATGGTCATCAATTTCTATGGCCTTAATGTATAGGCAATTAAATTATATATCTTTAAAGCCCACGCCGGCTCTGCAATTAAAGATGCCATTTCTGTTCGCTAAATTGGTAGGAACACCATGCTTTAAATCATGCACGAGAAAACCTTAAATCATCTATAGATGATTCAACATCACCGATTAATATGGCCTTGGACACTGTTTTCTCATTTATGTTTTTCAGTTTTGATAAGAAACCTTGATTTTCATGGAAAAGAAGATAGATACATTCATTCTGGTTACTTTCACATTTCAAGAAATGAAAAAAATAATCAGTGCTGCTGCCATGGTGCAACCAGATATTATCCCAAGGAAAAAGAGAAGGCGAATAAAAGTTCAATAGAGACTCTGAAGGCAAAAGAGCTTCATCTCTCTAAAAAAGATTTTACCTTCTCCAACCATCCAAGCAACTCAGTTTTATCTTTGTTCAACATGTATTCATGCAAGGAAATGGCAAGATCTTCATCTATGCCTCTCTCTTCCAGGAACTCTTGAAGGCTGGCCTGAAGCTCATCATCCAGTTCTCTGCCAAAAACAAGCCTCCAATCATCAGAAGCTGAAATTAAATTACATCAAACCATCTATATCAGAATTAAACTATTTGAACTTTTGACCCTTCACCCTTGACTATCTAATTTAATGTGATTTAACCATCAAGCTTTGGAATTGTTGGAATCCATTACATATTAACTCTCTCAAAAAAAAATTGTTGCAATCCATTACAACCAATATGGCACAGCAAATTAATGCAGAGAAACTTAGTTACAGTGACATGTGGCCTCTGGCCTCGTGTCGTGTGTATGTCAATCTCACTTCATTTTGAGCTCTGCCACTAGGTTGGTGTTGAAGAAAGGAGAACCACATTATATATTATGAAAAAATATATTTTATTTATAAATAATAGATACGCAGATGAGTCTAGTTGAGCAGCCTTTTAGGCCGATGTACTAGACACTTGGGAAACTCAGAGACACTGGCACCCTTGTCGATGTCCATGCAAAAATGTAGAAACTTTGGCTAAATAAAGCAACTCATTTCGCAAACTGAAATTATAAATGAGTTGAATGAAACAAGGTAACTTTTGCTAAGATTAAACTCTTTGTTATTGAATATGAGTTTAGAATTAAACTCTTTGTTATTGAATATGAGTTTAGAATGCCAACATTAGGCTCCCTGTTTTCCAATTTAAATTTAAATCAGCAACCAAGCTCCTAAGTTGTTCGATCTTTAAAACCAATCATTTCAAATTACACAAAACCACCATTGTTAAAATGAAAACAGAGTATAGTAGCTTTCGTTAGGATGGGTCTCCACCGATTTTAATTTTTTCACAATCAAATAAGTTCTGCCATGTCAGGAAAGAGCCAACCAATGGATATTAGAAGAAACCTGTTTCCTCTTAGAAAAAACTTGAAACACACAGAGCAAGCTTTGCGCCAAATGAAGATACTAATCCATATTAAAATTAATCATTAATTAAGGTTTTCGTAAGTTGTCAACTTCTAATTTAGAACCAATATCACAAACTCATAAGCAATCGAACTTATCAATAAAATTTTTTGTTATTCCAGGGGGAAAAAGAACTCAAAAAGAAACTAGAGCAACATTCACCAAACTTACGCTCCGAGGTCATCAATTCAAATGTTCAGGTCGACAATTAAGCTTGTAAGTTGCTGAAAATCTTCTAAATCAAAACCAAAATACACAGAACAACTAAGCTTCTGAGTTGCCAAAAATCTGCAATTAAGCTGCTGTCAAAAATCTCCTAAAACCAAAACCAAAATACACAGCATTTCTTATACACAGTAACCTTATAATCATCCGCCAATAATAAGTTTAACCTAAATGATTTTCAGTTTTAACCAAAAAAACCTTCCCACTAGTTAGGAAACCCAAACAACCAGCATATCAATAAAAGAAGGAATAAAGAAAAAAAATTCCATATAACTGACACAAGAACACAGGGAACCATAATTTGAAGTAAACCATAAGAACAGACAATGAAACCACAACTTTCACCAACATTAATCTCATATTTAGTTTCTAAAAAACACTGGTTTCTAAGTTGTTGAGATCCATTGAAACAAATATACACTATGATTCTCAAAAATAGATTAAAACCCATACAAACAATATGAGATTACGCAAAACCATCAAATTCAAACTGAAACAAAGAAAAACCTTCAAGTCAAAGACCCCAGTTTCCAATTCATTGTCATCTAAACGTTCATCAAAATTTCTAAATAAATAACCAAGACTCACTTGAAATCAGGTCCCACATAAGGTGGTCCAGGCAATGCATTGCGCTTAAGAGTGAAAACCTTCTCAATTGCCATTGAGTCAGGCCAAGCCGAGCATATAAACTGCAAAACATCACAATCCTCTCCTTTTGATATGTCAACAATGAGGCTAATATGCAATTTGAAATCAGCGCCTGTGTTTTGGTTGGATTTGGAAATGGGAATGGATCCGTCAAACATTGTAACCTCAATTTTAATGTCTTCGTTATCTCCATATTTTCCCCTCAATCGAATCCATTGTTCACCTGGTCTGTCCTCCACTGTAAATGAAGACAACTCGGCAACAGGCTGAAAGAGAAATTCCACTGACAAACTAAAGATTTTTTGTAGGATAAGTGACCATGAATGAGAAGAATTTGGGAGCATGTTCAAAGAGAATTTGCAATGTACATTGACTGACGGAAGGCAGAGAAGAAGAAGCAGACTCGACAAAGAGTGTGTGTGTGTGCATGGTGGAGTGTGTGTGTGAGAGAGAGAGGCCTGAAAAAAAAGTGCTGCAATTAATTATTTGAAGAAAACAGCATCCCAACCAAAGAGTGTGTCTGTGTGCATGCTGGAGTGTGTGTGTGAGAGAGAGAGGCCTGAAAGAAAAGTGCTGCAATTAATTACAAGGGAATAAAAGGAACAGAAGAAAACTAAGTAATGCTCTGAGGGGAATGCCATCGAGAACAGTGAGAGAGAGAGAGCGAAACAGAAGGGCCAGAGAAAAGTCCATAGTTTGAAGGAAATATAAAGGAAATAAGTAAAATAAGAGAACTAAGTAACAGCACTGAGGTTCCTGTGTGTCTGCTCGCGTGCACGAGAGAGAGAGAGAGATTACCGACCTAGAAGATCAAAATGCAAAAAGACAAGTCCATTGTTTGAACTTTGAAGGAAATACAAAGGAAATAAGTAAAATAACAGAACAAAGTAAAAGCACCGAGGTTCCTGTGTGTCTGTGCGAGAGAGAGAGGAGCAATACCAACTAAATAAAAACAAAACATAATAATTGAAATTGCAAAAAAAGAAAAAAAAAACAGATGGAAAGAAAAAACCCAAATATCATTGGAAAAGATCATTCTATACCTCATTTGGAGGAGTATATTCCATCTCATATTGAATTTCCCTACGAATCATCCGCAACATGTTGCCTTCAAATGCGGTTTTGTGCATCTCAGCTATGTAATTGCGAATCCGACACACGGGTTTTGGGGCAAATGGTCTATAGATTAAAGCATTGTTATTGTTGAGGTGATGCTGTGAAATTAGCGTTTTAGCATGAGAAATTGCAGAGGAAATTAATGGTGTTCGTCGCACTCGCAGAAGCCACGCCATTGATCGAGGAAGCCAGAAAGTTTGATCATGCAGGAAAACCTATTGGATTCTGCAACCCACAAAAATTAGGGTTTTCGTTGAACTTGTAAGCAAAACCTATTGGATTCTGTAACCCACAAAACTTAGGGTTTTCTGTGAACTTATAAGCAGAAGAGAAATGTATTTCGGGTTTAACAGTAGGGGCCCACAAAAACAGCGAAGAGGGAGAGAGGGGATTGAACTAGGGTTTATGAAACGGGCTTCAGGGCGGAGCATATATTTGTGGGGGGTGTTTTAAAGAAACTCAGATCCGTAGCTGTTGGTTCCTCTCCGATTCGGACATGGAACAATTCAGGCAAATCGGCTAATGTTAAACGCCGGAGCCAGCCGGTTCCACCAAAATCTTGTGATTTTTTTGTTAACGAGCATATTGGCGATCTGAGTCTTCGATCAATTTAAACTTAATAAAAAATCTGCATGAACAATCCAGGTCATCAAACTGTTTTTTCAAACCTTGAACGGACAATGGAACAGATGCGAAATGAACAAGTAGCTCAGTGTATTTCATTGTCAAAAAAAAAAACTTCAATGCATTAGTTAAACTCACGCCGAGCTTCCAAATACTTATTTTAATCTAAAATTGTATTGAAGTGAGATTTTTTTTTATCAAAATCCCTAGAAGCCCAATTGTTGCTCCTGCATTTTGTTTTTTAATGAAATAATTTGAAATTTGTTTCAAAATGTTGGTATTGAAGCTTTACCTCTATAACATTTTTGTTTGTTTGAAAATCAAAACAGGAGAAAGTGAGAGTCTAAATAATGGAAATTTTTTAAACAAACTAAAAAATATTTGATCCTTCACCCATATTTCACCAAACTATTTTGTTTACATTACACCAAACGCTCCAACAAATTATTTTTAGTACACGGTTTTTATGAGTCCATGTAGAAATGAGTTCTCTTAAAAATATATTTTTTAGGTAGATTTGTAGACTTAATTTTTATGGACATTTAATCTCTAAAATGGAGATCATGAATATGAAAAATAAATACTTTTTAAAATTAAAAATAATAACTTTATTAAGAAAATGTTTAGATCATTAGTTTCAATTGTTTTTAAATTAACCACCTATTTGAATCCATCTTTAAGATGGATGGTTATAGCTCGAGGACTGCATGTGTAGAAATACGGTCCCGCCGCATGAAACAATTTTTCTTGGTTTAAACGGATCCTAAAACATCTGAAGACCAACTATTGGTTTTCATCCCCTTTTATTTTATTGTTTCCTTTCAAAAGAATCTTCTTTATTTGAATATTTGGATTTTGATGTTGATTTATACCTCCTGCTAGATGGAATCAAATAGCTGGTTTTGATTTTTTTATTTTAAACTGTTCAAATTTGTCCTTTTTCTCTTTTTTTTATCTTTTTTAAAACATCAACAACTTGGCAATTTGGCTAGTTTTTCTAGGAATTGATAGGTGAAAAAGAGGTTCGAGTTTTTTAAACTTTTGAACTTCATAAAAAAGGAAAATATCTCCCAGCGTCTTGATTCTCAAAGTTTGGATCACCATCCTAGTATCCTCTTCAAACTTCAAAATATCGAACGGCATAGGGTTTTTTTCTTTATTTTAAATACTCATTAATGCCCTTAACAAAAATCCTAATCCAATTATAGCCTTTTTTTTTTTTATTCCCACCCCTTTTACTTTCTCTCTCTCATCGGTGCTCTGGAAATCGGTTGGGTGAAAGAAGCCGCAAAAGATAGAACAAATTCGGAATATCGAAGTTTGAATCCTTCTTGACAAATTCGGAGAAAGATGAAGGCGCAAGATAGAGAGAGGTTAAGCAGAGGAGTGGCGAAGGGCTTGGGAAATAAAAAGGTGGAAATAAAAAGGGCTGCAATGGGATTGGGACTTCTTTTAGTGTAGTAATGGGTGATTTAATAATAATAATAATAATAATAATAATAATAATAATAATTTGAGGATCAATGTTGTCATATCTGTTTAAGAGCTTTTTTCAGTTTGGTTAGAAAAAGAAGTAATTTGATGGTTTGGCCGATTCCGATGAAAAGTTCAAAATTCTTTTTAAAAATTAATATAAATAAAATATAAATTTACATAATACAAAATTTACATATTTATATCATACAAAATTTAATAAAAAGGACAATTCCAACCGGAGAGGCCGAATTACACCGAAGCGGATTAAACCGACATGAAGTAGGGACGAAGCAGATACACCAAAGCGGCATCACTACGCTTCAGTCTAAACCAAAACTCCGAAAAGTTTGGCCCCTTTAGCTAAAGCAAAGCAAAAATGATAACATTGCTTTGTGAGTAAAGATATTGTTTGATAAAACTCTATGAAGTTGTTATTCTGAAGTTGTTATTCTAAAGTTTGGAGGAGATAGTAATCTCAATATATTTTCAATGAAAAAGTTTATATATGCAACCTCATAATGTAGAACAACAAATGCGTCTCAAAAATCCATCGGAAAATGTCGTTTTAATGTTAAAAAACCTTTTGATTGATCATCTCGACATCGAGATGTATGACTATAAAAAATAAAAAGATTTTAAGTCTCAGAAATAATGCATTTTACAACATATTATCTACACCATATATTTTCAAGATTTTCATATGTTTATAGATCTATTTGATTTTAACCATTTTTGAAATTTTTAATTTTATAATTAGATATAAAAATAAATTTTGAGATAATCCTAATAACATTTTACATTAAAATTATATACCATGATAAAATTTGAAGAGTACCTTATCTCTACACCTACGGAGGCGTCCGTATGCCAATTGCACCCTATTTTCAAATATCCCTTTAATAGATCTTTTCAATGGGTGCAAAATCATCTAATTGATCATCTCGACATCTTGATATATCAAAAAAAAAAAAACAATAAGATTTCAAGACCCAAAAATTGTAAATCTTTCAATATATTATATCAATTTCAAAATTTTCATCTGTTTATAGATCTGCATGATTTGAACGATTTTTGAAATTTAAAATTTTATAATTAAAAATGAAAATAGTTTTCCAGACCATCCTAAAAAAATTTAACACCAAAATTACATCTTGTAATGGAATTTAAAGGTGCGCCTTACTTTAATTGTTTTAGGTTGCAACCTTACGTAAACTGCACCCTTAAATAAAATGGATTAATAAAGCGTCAACCTTCAAATCTTCAATCCTTGATTTTCATTTGATTTTCGAAATAAATCTAGAGCCAAAAGATTGTGTGCTTCCGCAGGAGATACTGTCTACTTACTCCTTAGAGTAAAACCCAATCCAGGAATACTTTTACGACCCCAAATTTTAAGAATGTAACTTCTTCAACACATCGACTTTTATTACAAAACACTTTATATACTCGGAAAAGAATAACATCTCAAAAATTGAATAGAGGCCATCCAATATTTGGAGGGTGAAATTTAAAGGTTAAATAACTCAAAATCAAAATATTCTTTCAAAAATCATCTAGAGATTCTTGGGTGGTTCCCAAAATTTCAAATAAAAAAATCCTGTCAAGTTAGTCCCCTGTCCGAGGAAGTACATGTATAATATACTTCCACATGAGCGTAGCATATGTACACAAACCTAACCTATTTTTCATCAGTTTTCCAGTGTTTAGTAGATGGACATGGTTTCGGTGAGTCAGCCGACTCACCTATTACCATGTAGTCCCTTGTCCAAAAATGTTATATCCACTAAAAGTTGAAATATATGGTAAATAAAGGATTTAAAAAAATAAATTTTTGAAAAAGAAAAATTAAAAAAATGTTAGATCCACTAAGTTAAAATAGACAGTAAATAATGGAATTTAAAAAATAACTTCTTGAAAAAGAAAATTCCTAACTTAGATTGTTGTCACAGTTGAGATTATCAAACCCTAAAATTTTAGATTGAAAATACATATTTGAAATGTATTTTGTCGACTCACCAAACAATTTTCCTTAGTAGATTAGTACCTGGAATTGACATTTTCCTCATTTTTTCATTTTGAAATATGGCTAAGACACATTTGAATTGGAATTTTCTTCCTTTCAACTTTCACATACTCTGTTGTTACTCTAAATGGCACTGTAATATCAATTCTGCTGAAATGAAGGCTCAGCAAACAACCTATTAATTATGGTTTGTTCGCCTTGTTTATAGAGTTTGCTTTCCAAAAGCCACTTTGCAAAATATTACAAAACTTGCATTTTTCATAAACATAAAAATTGGATATTTAAAGAGATGCTCAAAGATCTAAGATAGCATATGCATGAATGCATATCCATACATAGCTTTGCATGCATGAATGCACAGAAAAGCGTGCATGTAGGCATACGACATGCATCTCAATTCACAGGCTCATAATAGTGGGCGTATCAAGAGGACATTTGATACCCAAAAATTAGATGCATATTACAGGATAGCTCATGATGCGCATGAATATACAGGATGCATACATACATTCATATATACACATGTATAATGGCAACTATGAATATATTGCAAACTATAAATCAAGCAGTAAATACAACATTTGTTATAGCAGGAAATTTTTCCTTAATAGCAGCTTTGATTCCACTCCCAATGGATTCCGGACCAACATATTCAACATGACAATCCCCACCCTCGACTGATATCACTTCCACACTACCACCATAGTTCTCTATAGCAGGTCTCAATATGTCTAGATGACCATTAACTGCCTGCAATATATACCCAGTTAATAACACTCACCCAGTTAATAACACTCATGATCTGCTCTTTACAGTACTAATCCTAAATTAATTCTATTCCTTGATGATGAAAGCAAAAGCAAATTTTCGTTCTTTTTTTTTACCTCAACCGTGGCACCAGCTTGGGGTTCTTCAACCTGGCATATATCTCGCACTGCCTCACCAAACTTCTCCTTTAGAACCCTCTCAATCCCCATTTTCATGGTGGTGGTTGAACTGGGACAGCTCCCACAAGCCCCTGCAAAAATGCACGTGGGGAAAACTCAGCCACTATAGAGAGGGTAGAATGAAAATCATGGAAATTCTATCCCATAGTGGAGACAGTAAAGAACAAGAGAATGAAAATCATATAGTAGATTACCATATAATGCAGGAAAAAGTGGGTTTTTTCCAAGATAATGAAATAAAATACAAGAAGATAAACAGTCTAAAGCATATGCATATATTGGATACAGTTTTATAAGAATTCAGTGTATGTAATTCAAACTCAAAAAATAGGAAAAATATTTAACTTCAGAAATAGTATAGCCAAAGGGAGCCATCACAGGGACAACGTTGATTTGAATAGTGCTGGTGGGAGAGAGGGCACTGACAAATATGTCACTAATTTGAAGGGATGGTGATGATCCTATGACCATAACATGGCCTTTCAGTCATTCTAGACAAATAGGTAATTGTGGAAGGTATAACAGTGGTGATAACAAACAATATGTGAGGAAATCATTGAATCATGAAAGGACCATAGACAAGAGGAAATATTTTTCTTTTTTTGCTTTCTCCGTCAAAATCTGATCTCACACAATATCTTCCTACCTTAAATAAATGTTTTTAGGGTAAAATGATCACAACAAATATAGTGCTCGCATGCCGGTAAGCTTTTAGAAATGACCTGTCTTTATTGCTACATCCATTTCAGTATCTGCAACAACTTTGTACCCAAATGAAGGTTCTATACAATGTTGACGATAATAGATTTGGTAAGCGAAGAAGTGAACAGAAAGGATCTGCAACACTCTAAATCACAATCAAAAAACCAAGTAGCAAAAGAAAGAAGTCATGGAAAATACAGTTGCCTTATGACTTTTAAGTCATGAAAGGTACAATTGCACTAACCCAAATCCCCCCCCCCCGCCAACACACACACACACAAAAAACCACATTTATGTATCTAAGCTTCACATTATTAGTTTTAATAATCATGGGTTTTGTGAGTTGTATTGTGCACACACCAGTAGTATCCAATAAATCCTTCTGGTCTCCTCTCCCAACCCACTCAGAAATGACAAATGCAGCAAAATCATGTTAAGTATTCTATATCGCTAAATGAAACCTCATATATTTGTTAACAGTCGATTACTTTATCCATTTTACCTAAAATATTCACATTAATTAGACAAAACAAGCAAAACATGTCACACCAAAATGATAGTAGTTATGAAAAATCTCTTGGTGCGATCAACATATCCCTTATAAAAGTAAACAACTCTCGAATGTCCGTTGTTTAAAAATTATAAGGGAAATATGTACAAAACTTTATTTATGAAATTCCTTGCCCATTCATTATGGTTTATCTTCCAATAATTTCCATGCTTCCTATTTATTTCTTTTAACAATATTAAAATTACTCAGCATAACTATCCCAACTATTTGGGGTCGGCTACACAAATCCTGGTTTGCCTTTCTGCTCTATCAAAGGGTCATAATATCAAAATCACTACTTTTTTCAGTTAAATCCCTTTGATGAAATGTGCAGTCTGACGCTGTTGGACAATTTTCCTAGCAGGGAGAACTTCAATCTTTGAGGGAGGGGCTTCAACAGACCCATCAAGGTACCATAAAGATGGCCATTCCGAATCCCGTGCACAATTTGACATTTTATTGAATGTTATCAGATTCGTTTTGGGTCTTGGTTTTGGCTGATTTGGGGGAAGTCTTCAGCTCTTCAGCTGATGCGGGGGAAGTCTTCAGGTGTATTTTCAATAATGAAAAGAAAAATTACATATGACAGGCATTCTTAAAAACATTTTCAACCATAAAAGGTTTATATTTCAAAATTGTGAAAATCTACGTCATTCTCGCGATATTTTTAAAAACATATGGCATATTTACCGTACTTTTGTATATATAGGGCCTATTTTCATAATTTTCACCAATGCTTTTGCAAATTTCAGGATTGTATTTGCTTCACTTTGGTTTAGGTGCTCAAGCCGAAGACTTTGGTCAACGCAAAGTGAATCTTATAACACTGATTTTGATCTTCTAGATTTATGAAGAAATTATGGTGTAGTGCTATGTTTAACCCTCCTGGACTCACTTACTATCAGGTACTTGTTATCAGAGCAATTGTCTATCACTGTACAAGGCAAATTACCAAACCTTCTTATGGAAAATATAAAGGGATGAAAGATAACTACTAAAAGGGTTGCCAACTATAATCAACATTGATTAAACCTTCTGAATACAACGAGAAAAAGGAAGATCAGCCAACATGGCAAGAAATTTATCATGATGCTTAAAAGCGGCAAGATTGCAATTGCCTAGTTCCTGGCAGTGTATTAAGCACTCACTTTCTTGGCTATGAAACTTGCTGGAAATACTACAGTGAAGGCTGATTCTCCATTCCTGATTTACCAAGGCTGCACCTTAGATATTATAGCAATCACCAGTAGTGGTGGAACTCTTGATGTGACAAAAGACAATGTGGGAGTTTGTACAATTAGAAATAAAAAATGGGCAGCATAATCCATAGGACAAATTGCACACTGTAGGCATCTAGGTTCCATATTGATATAAATACTATTGCAAACACTAAGGTTCCTTTGTCCAACCATGAATTCACATGAATTCAAACAATGTTCAATTCATTGAAAGTTGTACCATAATCCCTTAGCAATGTCGATAGCATGAAGACTAACTAATAAAAGGATTTTCATTATAAACTAGAGAAAGAATGATGATATGGGTCAGTCAGCATGTTACTCTAGGTGATGTGGAGAGTTGTAGATTGTGTAAGTTGAAAAAATATAAATACAGAGAACATATGAGACGTTATAAAATAAGGCAACAAAATAATCCATGAATGGAAGACACATTCAACTTAAAATAAAGATAGCATGAGCTACATGACATTTGGGATTCTTTTTGGTATCCAAATGATAAAATACCATCGTCAGCCATAAGCCTTAGTATAAGTAACAAAATAATCCATGAATAGAAGGTAAATTCCATACATCAAATGAAGACACACGAACTGCTTGAGATATGAGGCTCTTTTGGTGCGTGAATAAGAAAAATATATAGACCATAACATAGCCATAAGCCTTAAAACAAGGCAACAAAATTTATAAGGCAACAAAATAATCCAGGATAAATGGCACATTCACTTTTAAAATGAAGATAACATAAACTGAGATATAGGAACTTTTGTCTGAATAACAAAGTATATATACCATTAGCTATAAGCCCTAGAATGGCATGAGAGAGCCTAAGTTAGGTCACTGACTTGCAAGACTCCTTATCAGGCAGCATGTACAGAAACATGGAATTTCGATGCTAGTCAAGAGAGAAACAGCAGAGTTTTCCATTTGCTTCTTGAATTTGAAAACAACATCATAGCCAATTTCTCAATATGATTGCATTGACAATGTGCACAATAACAAGTAACTAGAAATTTACTGTATTTAGATTTAAATTGCCTAAAACTGAGATAACTAAACAGTTTATTAGCGCACAAACTTGCAATTTTATTGTCTCCACATAACATCTATTCAATATGTATAGAGCAATTTTTATGGTCATCTAATAACAGTTAATCAACAAAGATGCCCAAAATTGCAAAATCAGCAGTAAAAATTCCATATGACATGAAATGACAGCATATAATTTATAGTTTATGGTTGTTCTTTCTCACATATCAGTTATGTCTAAATAAAATAAACCATTGTGAACTCAGTTGTGAATTACAAATACGCAATGAAAAAGAGAGCCCGGGTAACACCTTCATCACTGCTTGGATATGGCAGTGGACCAAGCTATTGCATTAGTTTATTGTCATTTTACATGGGTTTTCAAATATTCAAAATGCATCCAACAGCAATTGCAAGTGCAGTGCACCAAAGTTCAACTCTTCTCAAAAGGGAGTCGAAGTTCATGGCAAGTTCAAGAGTTCCCATTCAAGTTTTGTGAGAGTTCCAATTCAAGTTTTATCCACCCCACTAAAGAACCAAATCCAGGAATACGATAATATGTAACTTTTGGCCCCAAGGCCTCATCTCAAAAATAAATTTCAGTTATAAGGTTCCAAACAATGAAGCAGAAACGAGAAAAAAAAAACTGAATCTGGAACATAGAAGTAGAATTAAACAATTAATATAAAGGAGAAAACTTCATCCATGGAGCCAAATGAGATCTTTCAACTCTTCACAAAAAGTAAAAGAAAAAAACCCAAAACCTAAAACAACCCAATTCGCATCATGGAATTAGAATTAACATAAATAAAGAAAATCCGTAACAAGAGCACTGAATTTTCGACAGAAAGTCAGAAACTCAAACAAAATAACAAAACCACAAAACCGAGATCACAAGAATGGAGTAGATTGGATATTTAGAAGGAAAATATTTTCAATTTCAGACCTTGAAGGCGCAATGAGATCACCCCATCTTCGACAGAGACCACTTGCACATTCCCTCCATCTGAAATGAGATAAGGGCGAACATCTTCCAATACCAAATCCACGTTCTTTGCAGTGAGCTCAAATGTTTGTGAAGAATAGAGCCCCGGAGACGCAGTTGCTGCCCCTTTCTCAGAGGACGAAACCGTGGAAGTTTCAGAGGTCATGCAGCATGAAAACCTGGTTTTCTTAGGGCTTAAAGTTAAAGGAAGAAAATAAAATGGAGGCGTTTTGAAGGGTTTGAGGAAGTGAGAGATGGGTTTCATTGAGAACCCATTTCCAGGAAGGGTGGTCATCTCTCTCTCTCTTTCTCTCTCTCTCTCTCTCTCTCTCAGGTTGTATCGCCTGCAAGCATAAGAATGAGGTTAACAAAGGTCCTCTATTAAGCGTGTTATTCAAACGGGAAGTATCACATGGTATCAGTTCTTTTGAACACACAATACTAACAGCTTTCTAAACCGTTAGATCTCATCAACTCATGTCAACAAGCGGCTCTGCTTGGTCTCGCCAACACTCCTTGTTGACGTGCGGCCTGCGGAGCTCTTGTTATTTTTATGCAAAATAAACAGGCACTGTGATATATGACCGTCTAAAACATACAGTTTTGGAGATAAATCATCATGTACGGAAGGGTTAAAATAATGTAGGGGTGGCAATGGATCCGGACCCGAGGTTTAGATCCCATCCTGGTGTGGGTCCCCAAATTGGACCTTGCGGGTCGTGGTCAGGTCAAGTTAGGTCTGGGTCGGGTAATATTTTTGAGTTTTAATATATGAAATATATTTAAACGTAAATAAATATACGGTGCGGTTTGTATAGAGCTTAAGCTCTAAACAATCAAATTAGAGCCTACCTTCAAATAGTATCGAGAAATATGGTTTCAATATTGAAAATCTTTTTTATAGCCTTAAAATATATTTTCATCTTTATTTATAAAGTTTAAAGCTTCAAAAATAATGTAGATCGAGAGATATATGAAAACTTGAAAATCTTGAAAATTGACTGTTCAAAAGTGCGTTACAAAATATACTATTTCCAAAACTTGAAATCCATTTTTTTCTCATGTCTATGCATATTGATGTTGAGATGATAGATTTGAGGATATTTGAGCATCAAAACCATCTCTTCTAGTGAAAATTTGAGGTAGGCTTAAATTTAATTGTTTAGAGCCTCGGCTCTATATAAACTTTTCCCATAAATATATAGATATTTAAGTTTTGAATTGAGTGGATCCGTACTGAGTCCCACTTGTATAGACCAAGGGGCATGCCTTGCATTTCAAGTCCGTTGCCATCTTTAGAGATTTTTTGGGTTGTATTTTGTAAATTATTTTTTATTTAATAAATAAATAATATTGTCAAAAAAAAAAAGTCTTAGGTGAGGCTAAAATGTCCATCTTTAGATATTTTTTGGGCTGTATTTTGTAAATTATTTTTTATTTAATAAATAAATAATATTGTCAAAAAAAAAAGTCCCAGGTAAAGAGAAAAAAAGATTTTAGATACTTAGAAACCCAAATCTACTATGGATCAGGTCATTCCATGGACAGCGTTCATGCAAAATGGCACTTATAAACAATTTATTTGTGCATTTTTTAAATCTCAAGGATGGGATGTAAAAAAAATGAAGGGAAAAGTTTATAAAGAGCCGAGGCTCTAAACAATCAAATTTGAGCCTACATCAAAACTTTTACCATAAGAAGTTATTTTGATGCCTTAATATCATCAAATTTTTTAACCGTCAATTTTCAAAATTTACAAGTTTTCATAAATCTATCGATCTATACTATTTTTTAAGCTTTAAACTTTATAAATAAAGATGAAAATATATTTTAAGGCTATTACAACGATTTTCAATATTGAAGCCACATTTCTCGATACTATTTGAAGGTAGGCTCTAATTTGATTGTTTACAGCTTAGGCTCTATGCAAACCGCACCAATGAAAGATACTTGTGTTATTTTAAAGGGAAAAGTTTATATAGAGCCGAGGCTCTAAACAATTAAATTAAAGCCCTCCTCAAAAATTCATTAGAATATGTTATTTTGATATCTGAATATCCTATCATCTTGACATCCAGGTGCATGGACATGAGAAAAAAATGGATTTTAAGTTTTGGAAATAATATATCTTGTAGCACATTTTTTGACCGTCAATTTTCAAGATTTACAAGTTTTTATAGATTTGCTCGATCTACAATACTTTGAAGTTTTAAATTTTATAAATAAAGACGTCGGATCTAAGATCAAACGGTAAATAGCTCTCTTGATCAAAATTGGACAGCTAGATGGTAGGGGGAGGATAGAACTTCTATGCTATAGGGAAATCGTATAAACATTTCCCTTCTTTTATTAGTAATCATCTATTAGTTCTAAGGGAAAATATCTCCATATTTGTTAAAAAATCCAAGGTTTCAAAACATATTTTATAATATAGAAATCTTACGTATTATATCTTCTAACCCCTAGACCCTCATATATTTAGCCCAAACAAAATTCAAAAGATCATCTTTTCTATTCTTTTTTTAAACCTCACCCCTAGACCCTCATATATTTAGCCCAAACAAAATTCAAAAGACATCATCTATTTTATTCATTTCCAAACTTCATCTTTCTTGCCGTGTTTCTTCTCAAACATCTCTTACTTTTTTATTCCTTTCTAAACCTCATATTGAAAAAATATCTTTTAATAATTGAAATATATATATATCTTTTGAAATAATATTTTTTCTGAATAAAAAGAGAGAGGTTTATAGAGAAATACAGGAACAAATAGAAAAAGGGAGTTTGAAAAGAAATAGAAAGAATGATATCCTTTAAAATTTTGTTTGAACTAAAAAAATGGAGTAAAGTTGGTACAAGAGTTAGAAGATATAATACATAAGATCTCTATGCCGCCACTTATATTTTGAAACTTTAGGTATGATGAGAAATGAAACCTGAAAAGCAAGCCTGCAAATATATTTCCCCAAGTTTTAACTGTATTATTGTATAAATACCTTATTAACCGATTGGAAATACAAGGGCACGCTTTACTTTTCATACAAGGAGGTCAAAATTACTCTTGTATGTGAAATTTTTAAGATGGCGATAAAAATGCCATTAACTAAAATCAAAATTCAAAAAAAAATTTCTAAACATTGTAAAACAACTTAAACAATCTATTTTGACGTCTAGTAGCTAAAAGTAATTACAATCTCCTTCTAACAAAGATAAATATCATACTACACAATCCCTAATCAAATTCCTCTTAAATGATTCTAACTCTCTTTCTCCGTCAGAGAGATGATGGCGCACATCCCAAACTTTGGGAGCTTCTCCTCAACCCAACGTGGTTAGTTTCGTAATTCTTTTGCAAACCCAGGTGCACTTTCATTGTCTCCCAAGACCCAACTATTTCACATATTTGAACAGCCGGTAATTATATAAATAAATTAATACAAGAAAATAATAACATGAAAATAATAACAATAAAAAGAAAAAAAAAGATTGAGATAATATACTATCTCTCAAAGTCTGTAAAAAAATCTACCCAAAAAATAATCTTTAAAACTAAATTTTACTGAACTCATTCACTATGTTATTTACAATAAGGATTTATTCTCTTTAAATAGACTTTATAAAAAAATAAACAAATAAAAAACCCACCCTAAATAAATTCTCTTATCTCTCTAAAGTTCTGATACCATTTTCCTATCTCTTTCTCTTTCCAATTTCCACATAAATCTCCTCTCTATCTCATTACAAGTTTTCTCCCTATTTTCTCTCGTCATCTCACAAACTTCCTCAAAATAGTTCTTTTATTCTCACATGATCTTTGACTATTCTTAATTTGTTCTACAAAATCCTCTCACTTAACAATACTTACCAAAATCCTTCCTCCCGTTAATTATCACAACTTACTTCTTATTCTTAAGAAAAATAAACAAAAGAATAATAAAATAACCCTAATTTTATTTGCATTATAAATCCATTGTGAAAATCCCAACAAAAATGCATTAAAAAAAAAAAAAAAAAATCAAAAGAAGGTTTATGTATGGGCAGAAAACCCCACAAGGTAAAAACATTTTTTGCGCTATAAGCCAGCAAGTACAAACCAAACAAGTGACAACATAATACACTAAAATACAACATAAAATATAATATAAAACCTAAAGATACCCCGAGTCTTATCTTGTATTCATTCCAAATTCTCTGCGAATTATTGTGGTTGTGAGCAAATGAAGGGAGGAATGGCATCTATCAATGGCTTATTATTTGTCCTGTGGGTGTTTGTGCTTCTTCACTCCACTGCCATTGAAGCTCATGGAGAAGAAAAATTGGTTGGATGCCCCCAACATCCTGACAAAGTCATAAAGCTACCTGGTCAGCCTTCTATATCCCCACCCATATGCCACTTCTCAGGCTTCATCACTGTGAATGCTTCTCATGGGAGAGCTCTTTTTTACTGGTTTTTCCAAGCTTTATCGAACCCCACTCACAAGCCCTTGCTCCTATGGCTCAATGGAGGTTCTCTCTCTCCCCCTCTCTTTGTATATAAGCAAATCTCATTTATTCATAAACAGAGCCATGGTTAAGCCACCTTTTTCAATGGGATTTATTACCTCTACTTGATTACGGCTAGCAATGGACTGGGCAGCCGGCCCGGGCCTAAAAAGGTAGGGCATGGGCTGCAAAGAGTAGCCTATGGCGGGGCCAGGGTTAGTACAGGCCCGGTTTGATGGGCTTGGCCTAGCCGTTCCGACCCTTACATGTTCTTCTTCTTTTTCTTTTTTTTTGCTTATTGGGTAATTCAGTAAGAAAGACAGTTCCCTACTCATTTTTTTGTATAGATTAGAAAGTTAGCTATTCTAAAGGTGTATGTGAGTGGTGTCAGCAAGATTGGAAAGCATGGTGCGACCTTATACTTGAACTACATTTATTAAACACTCAAGCATGTGTATAGCATGATTTTGTTTTATTTTTTAATTTGTGTGTATATATAACATGATATTGCGGGAGCGTATTGTGCACTTGCTTGGGGGCAAAAGAGAGCTACCTAAAAGGAGGTTCTATGCTCTCAATTTCAATATCCACTTTAGAATAATATCTAGAAAAATTTGGATTTTGAGTTATTCAATAATTAGATTTGATTGTTTTGAAAATTGGACGCTTTGTATTGTGTATTCAATCTTAAGGAATTATTTTTTCACGCAGTGTGTACATTTGATTTTTATGTTTGGTCACTGCATTAAGGTAGTTACTTTTATAAAATTTGAGATTCTAAAAATACTTGTAGATATAGTTTTACCCAAGCTGGTGAATGAAGAATATACTCTGTCGGGACCATATAATCTTTTGACAACACCTAGGTCTCTTAAAAATTCTTTAAGCGAGGACGCTTTTTTTTATCAATAAATGACTATGATTATTATTATCTGTCATTTATTTTATTTTATCTATTTATTTCACATGATTTGGATAGGGCCGGGTTGTTCTTCTGTTGGTTATGGAGCGGCAGTGGAATTGGGCCCTTTCAGGGTTAACAACAAAGGAAATGGGCTTGACCACAACAAATACTCTTGGATTCAAGGTTTGCTTATATATCCTTTTTTTATTTGACATACATTTTATGCTCACTACTTTTTACCAAAATTTCTTTATCAAGAGAGTTTTGTCATCGGTGTTGTGGGAATGTGTAGTTAGCAGTTAGTAGGGGGTGGGTGACCGATCGGGTTGACCCGCGTACTTGACGGGGTCGACATGATTTGGTCCGGGTTTGGGTCGTATTCTGGAGTCAATGGATGGGGTCCGGGTCCAAAAGTAAGGACCTGACAGGTTAGGTCAGATCCGGGTCTAGGTTACCCAACCCGAATATTTGATATGCATTATTTATTGAAAAAAGTTTATATAAGATTGCAATCTTAAAATGTAGAATTAAAGTGCAACCCTGTTTCTATGTGGCCAAGCACGCATGTATAGAAATGCGGGTCTATTAAGAAATCTATTTTTGAGATAGATTTTTTAACTTAATTTTGAAAGACATGTAATCTTTAACATGGAGATTATGAATATGAAAAAATAAGTAAATTTAAAAAGCTAGAAATAATAACTATAGTAAGAAAGCATTTGGACCGTTAGGTTCCATTGTTTTTAGATGAAATACATACTTGCATATAAAGATGGATACATGTACATACATGAAATAATTTTCCTTAAAGCGCACCTCAAAAATACATCATAAAAGGTTTGTTTGTTTGTTTTTTTTTTTTTAAATGTTGGAAAAACCTCTAATTCATCATCTCAATCGAGATGTATGAATATGAAAAGAAAAAACGGTTTTGAGTCCTAAAAATATTGTATCTTACAACATATTATCTAGACCGTTCATTTTCAATATTTTCTAAGTGTTTATAAATCTACTTGCTTTATACCGTTTTTTTTAGTTTATAATTAGAGATGAAAATAGATTCTCAAACCATCCTACGAATTTTTTACATCAAAATTATATTTATGATAAAATTTGGACGTGTGCTTTTATTTTTGGGAAAATATTCTATTATTCTCTATTTTTAACTTTTATATCTCATTAGATTCAAGAATTGAAAATATTACTTATAAGCAAAATGACTCTATCTTTTCTATCTTCCAACCCCCTAAACCCTTTTGACTACATATTAGTGACCTTAACAACTTATGAAATGACTCTATCTCTCTCTCTCTCTAAAACTCCATCTTTCTCTTACATGATCGTCTCTCTCTCTCTCAAAACTCCATCTCTCTCTAAAACCCAAACTCCATCTCTCACACTCACATCATTGTCTCTCTCTAAACTTCATCTCTCTTTTTAAAACTCAAACTCCATCTCTCTCTCTAAAACTCCATCTTTATCTAAAACTCCATCTCTCTCTAAAACCCAAAATCCATCTCTCTCTCACACTTAAAAAGGTGTTCTCGTGCTCGAGCTCAAGCTAAACTTCTTGGCTGGTAAACTCACCGAGAAATGAAGAGAGAGAGATGGAGTTTGAATTGGGCGTCATTTGTTTGGGTAAAAAATTTATAGTCAAAAAAGTCCAAAGGGTTGTAAGATAGAAAAGATGGAAATATTTTGTTTACAAGTAATATTTTCTATTCTTGGATCTCATAAGATATGGAAGTTAAAAATAAAAAATAAAAAGATATTTTCCCTTAATTTTATTGTTTAAGGTTGCAACCTTATACAAAACTATATTTATAATAAAATTTGGAGGTATGTTTAAGGTGTGCTATATGATATAGTTTTTAATATAATGTACTTATTATATAAGCTTAAAGGGATTCTTAGGGAGAAGGTTTCTCTTTCTTCACTTCGACTTTTTTTTTTTTTGTTGTCGTTGAGAGTTAGAAGGTCCAGGTTGGGTTTGGGCGTACTTGACCTTGACCTGATTGGGTCTCGGTCGAGGTCAAGGCCAACTTGATCCACATATACTAATACAAATTGGTTATAAATAATATGAAGTTTATAGAATAAAATATATAAAATAATTTTTACACTTACTATATTTATAGACCTGGACCAGACCTAATCTAGTGGGTTGGGTTTAGGTCCAATTGAGTTGGACCCAACCTGAACCTGAACCCGGACCCAACCCATGAAAATGCCCACTCTCTAAAGGAATGACTATTTTGCCCCTCTATAGAAAATGACAATAGTGCCCCTATATAATCATCGCAGAAGCAAATGTGCTATTTTTGGAATCTCCCATTGGAGTTGGGTTTTCCTACAGCAACACATCCTCCGATTTCATCAATTTGGACGACAAATTCGTAGGTAAGCTCCCCGTTATCATTAATTATATTTTCTTTCTAAGATTTAATTCGATTAGACAAAATTTTCTAAAAGAAAATCATAAGAATTTTTTAATGGGTTATTGATATCTTCTTCCTTTCTTTCTTTCTTTTTTTTCTTTTTTTTTCTTTTTTTTTTTTTGCGCTGTTCGGTACATGACATAGCCAAAGATGCTTACAGTTTCCTGCTAAAGTGGATGAAAAGGTTTCCTCGATATCAAGGCCATGATTTTTTTATTTCGGGAGAAAGCTATGCAGGTACACATTTTTCGCTTATTTCCTCGTGGAGTTTTATTATTATTATTTTTGTTGTTGTTGTTATTGTTTTTGTTGTCTACGATAAAACTCGTGTTTCGGGTACTGTAGGTCACTATGTGCCTCAACTGGCGGACCTTATATATGACGGCAACAAAAATAAAAGAAATCATTTCATAAATCTCAAAGGCTTCATCGTGAGCTTCTTCTCTTTCTCTGCATTTCTCTTTCAAGACTTATTTTAGAAAATGCCTGAAAATAGATTATATATATACATGTATGATATAAGAAGTTCGTATTCTGAGTGTCGTAGGTCATAGATGTCCCATTGGTCTTATGTTAATGGTAGACATGTTGGCTTGGGTGAGGGAGCCACAAAAGCTAAGGGTCGTCGTTTTTTTTTTGCGATAACTCAGTGGGAAAGAGAGGCCCTTACCCATTTTTTCAAGTGGTTTAGGAGTTAAACATTTTGAAATTGTTAGCGGTGGGAATGAAAACCACAATATAGTGACTAGGGTGCGGGGGCTACCACGACCATCCCAACCCCTTTCTCAAAGGTCACATGCGGACTTATAGGTCCACCCTTCCTAATTTGATATTATAAATGGATTGACTATCCAAAACTCTAGAGATTTAGGATCTCAAGCTCCCTGGTCATGGATTGAGGGAAAAATAGAAAAGAAAATGAATTTTCAGCCCTACCAATAGTCTATTTTGTGTTTTTCTTTTTTTGGAAGTATAGTTGATTTGTGTTTATTTCATTTGATAACTTTAATTATGCAAAGTTCATCAAATCCGCAATATTTTTGGATATCCAAATTCATGGGTCTCAAGCATTGATACATTTTCAAAGATTTGGGATGCATCTTGAGTCCTAATTCTGGCAAAATATTTTGGGGTGCATGAGTCCATAGATGCACAAAAGACTTCCATCAAAAAATCCGAACCCTTAAAGTTTGACCTAGAAAACCAATTTATCTTTTACGAGGAAGTAAGTTTGTATAAGGTGTCAACCGTGTAGAAGCAGGGTGCACCTCAAGAATTCACCTCGTAAAGGTTCTTGCAATGCCAAGAAACCTTACAATTGATTGTTTCGATCTCGAAATGTATGAATGTTGACAAAAAGGAAAAACATCTAGTAACACATTATCTAGGCCGTCCATTTTCAAAATTATTAAGTGTTTAGAGATCTACTGGATCTATACCATTTTTGGAGCTTTTATCGTAATCATCATCATTATAATATGAGTTTTATCCAACAATTTATGATCATCTATACGAATCATGTTCTACCATTTAAACCTGTCAAAGGTCATCTTTGGAGCTTTAAATTTCATAATTAGCAGCGAAAATAATTTTTTATGCTGTATACAGGATTTTTTTACACCAGAATCGTATCTTAACAAAATTTAAAAGTGAACTTTATTTTGATACTTTAAGATTGACAACTTTATATAAAGGAAAAAGTTTATATAAAGATGCAACCTTATAATGTAGAACTACGAATGCACCTAAAAACTCTATCGGAAAAGGTAGTTTTAATATTGAAAAACCCTTTGATTAATCATCTTGACATTGAGATGTGTGACCATGAAAAATAAAAAGATTTGAAGTATTAGAAATAGTGCATTTTACAATATATTATCTACACCGTCCATTTTCAAGATTTTCATATTTTTATAGATCTACTTAATTTTAACCATTTTTGAAATTTAAAATTTTATAATTAAATATAAAAATAGATTTTGAGATAATCCTAAGAACATTTTATATCAAAATTATATACCAAAATAAAATTTGAAGGTGCTCCTTACCTCTACAGCTACGGATGCATCCGTATGCCAACTGCACCCTTATATAAATGCACTTTCTATATAACTAACACACGCACAAAAATATATATAAAAAAGTATACATTGTGACATTTGGGTCCCTATATATTCCACACAAAAAAAGGGTAAACACCAAATCTAGTATATGGTACAAACCCTTATCAAATAATCCTCATGAATATTAGGCCCACACTTAAATCTCCTATGGCGAGATCCTTGAATTAAATCAAATTGACCGAGAGACCCCAATGCACTGCACTATATTGGTGCCGACATATTTATGTAGATTTTCCAAATTTGAGGATTGTTGTGAAGTTATATAGTGGACTATACTAACCGGTGTACTATATTTTGGAAAGACACCCGTTTAGATCTTTAAGATGTGAAGTCAAGACTAACAGTTATGTGACTTCAGATTTTGAAGATTTAAAATCAAGCCTATTTTGCTGTCACTTAAGATCTAAAGGCATCTATAACTTTTTATCTTGAAGATTCAAAGTCATGCCCCATATTCATGACTTTGGATCTTGAAGTGGTGCCAAATTAGGAAAAGAAAAAGATTGAGGTAGATAGGGGTATATGGGGGCTTGACAAGTTCTAAAGTCATAATCTCGCTTAGAACAAGATCTAAAGTCCTAAAATAGCTTAGTCATCATGGATTTTAAAGATTTGAAGTGGTGGTAATTTGCGAATTAAGATGGTATTTAAAAAGAGTGCAATGTATAAGGTTACAACTTTATTTGTAGAAATAAGGTTGCGGTACTATACATCATCCATTTTACTTGGATGATGTTGATTTAACATATCTTTTAAGACAATATCAATATATGACATATATATATATATATATATAGTACCTAATCTACACCGTCTAAATATAATAGACAATGTAAATTACTGCAACTTTATTGCTACAAATAAAGTTACAACTTGCAGCTTTATATAAACTTTTGAAAAAAAGGCATTTACATAATAAATTAGGAAAATTGGGGGAGATTTCTTAAATACCAATAATTGGTTAATTTCTCAAAAACTTATGATCCAACGAAAAATAGAAAAGAGATTGTCTACAAAGAAATCATCTATCTTTTGTATATGGACGTCACAATCATTCTTGTCTTTTAAATTTCAATATGGATAGCTGTAAGAGTATCATTGAATAGACATAAAGTTCTAAATTTTTTTTTTCGAATTTCGTAACTTACCCCAAACCATCCAGTTTGACATGTAATGAGTAAAAATGATTATGACCACTACTATAAAAAATAAATGGTCTCTTTTAAAGACAATCCCAATAGAAAATTACTCATGAATCATACGTCCAGGTGGGGAATCCTGAGACTGAGGACTTTTATGATAGCAAGGGGCTTGTGGAGTATGCCTGGAGCCACTCAGTGATCTCCGACCAATTGTACCAACAAGTGAACCATGCCTGCAATTTTAAGCTCAGCAATTGGACGAGGGAGTGTGCAAATGCCATTAATCTGCTTTTCGAACAGTACAAGGAGATTGACATATACAACATCTATGCCCCAAAATGCACTCTCAGCCGCACATCATCACTTCCAACGTCGTCGTCTTCCTCTCGAAGTAGTGATGATAAGGTAACTTTTGGTTCCATTGTCAAATAGACATTGCTACTTATAAATTTATAACTGGGCCTACATTACTTGTTCTAATTAAATATATTTTTTTTCAAAAATAGTTGAGAACTTTCTAGTTCTTTTTTTTTTTTTTCTTTTCCTGTAGTTTAATAGTAAGAATCGAACTTTTGACATGAGCTTGCTATCATCAATTTCTAACCACTAAAGCCCAAGCCCGACTCTTCAAAAACTTTTGTTAAAAGGGTTAATTAATTAAAAGAAGTTCAGCCATTATAGGCTTAATATGCATGTTTTGTTCAAAATGAGAGAGAGAGAGAGAGAGAGAGAGTATTTTGGGATTTTTAATCATTTATTACTTCTCTAACATTTTTTTTCCAAATTACTTCAATCATGATGGTTATCCGAATTATTCTCATTTGTATCTGTATGACAAAAAAAAAAAAAAGGCTCAAAACAATCAAAGTAAGGTGCACCTTCAAATAGTATCCAAAGATGTCGTTTCAATACTGGAAATCTTTGTGATGGCTTGAAAGTTTATTTTCATCTTAATTATAAAATTTTAAGATCCAAAAATATTGTAGACCGAGCAGATCTATAAACAGTGAAAATCTTGAAAATTGACAGTCCAGGAAAATACATTGAAATATGCACCTTTTCCAAGACTTAAAATTTATTTTTATCATGTACATACATTTCAAAATCGAAATGCTCAGATTTGAGGGTTTTTTGACATCGAAACAACTTCATCTAGTGAACTTTTTGATATATGCCTTAGTTTGATTGTTTAGGGCCTCAACTTTATATAAACTTTTTCCCTTTTTTTTGGTCCACAAATAAATATTATGGAATGAAGGAACATAAATTATACACTATAGGCAAGAAGTTATGTTTTGTTCACAAAAGCAATGAGGATAATAGCTTTAATACTCTATGTAGGTAAAGCTGAGGAGGATGAGGATATTGGGGGGGTATGATCCATGTTACGAAGTGCACACCGAAGCATATTTTAACAGAGATGATGTACAAGAAGCTTTCCATTCCAAATCCCCTATCCGTGTACATTGGCAGTCTTGCAAGTAAATCTCATCCAATGTTATTCTATACAAATATAATGCATGCAAACAGACAACTGGTTTTTATTTATTTATTTAAGGTAATTGTGAACTATATAATAAGACTATTAAAGTTTTTAGAACAAAAAGGTTACAGTCACCCTCTACTTAGGTAGATGTAAACTTCAACAATCACTTATCAGTTAAAGAAGTACTATTAACTGTGCCCAAAGTTCAACAAAATCTATTTTAAATTTTGTGACACATTTTTAGCCACCTGATTTTATGTCCGACGCTACTGTGAGTAGTGATTGTGACCTTCTTGTCCCAAACGTGAT